TTTGGTGTGGGGCCCACTCCCCCCGGTCGTGCCCCCCTTTGGCGGGGGACCCCCTTGCCGCCGGTGCATTGATGGCTCTTTGTGTCTGGGCTGGGTGGTGGGGTGCACGTCGGTCCGCCCTGGTTGCTGCCTGGCGGGGCCTGGGTGCCCTGGCTCTGTCAGGGCTCTGCTGGGGGGTGGTATGTCCTCGGGGCTTGGGGCTCGGTGTCCATGGCCGAATCTACCTGGGGGGGACATGGGTCGCCGGCCGGACCTGTGGGCTCGTCGCTGCAGCTTCCTGGAGGCTCTGCATTGTGGTGGCTGGGGTCACCCGGTTCTTTCCTCTGCTCCTCTCTGGGGGGGTGCGGTTCTCCCTGTTGGGAGACTCCTGGGGCCGCTGTGTGTCTGTGGCTCCGGTCCTCCCTATGTTGCCATTGTGTCCTGGGGGGGCGGGTCTGTGGGCCCCCGCGTCCACTATTGGGCATTCTTTTGGAGAAATCTGGTGGTGGTGGGCGTGCTTGCGCGGGTGTTTGGATTCAGGTGCTTTGACAGATGCATGCTAGGTTGGGTAGTGGTGGAAGCTAGATGATTCCTTGTGCGATGTCGAAAGTTTTATGGTGATATTGTGGGTGGCATTGTGCTGTGCATGTTGTTTTGTCGTGGTGGTCTCTCATCTTATCTATTTCTCTTTTATTATTTATTTATTCTTCTTTCTTCTCTTTCTTTAAAAAATAAATAAATAAATAAATAAATTGAGCGATGATGATAAGTTCATTGAAACACTTCACAATGTTTCTACACTTAAAATGAGCTAAAAAAAAAAAAAAAAAACATATCGGATATCGACCAAAATTCCAATATCGTGCATCCCTAAATAAAAGTTATTTATTAATACAGGCCAGTCTTATAGTTTATTTGGATTCTTCTGATCTGCCTCCATCATTACCAGCGGATGGAATGACAATCCCTTTGATGTACTCCATAGCTTTTTGGGGATCGACAAATATCTTATCTATCCCTCCATGAGTAATTTTGAGCCTCGCCAGGAAAAGAAGGCCTTATCTGATTACGGGTCTGTTCCGTAGAAGCTGCTTGATCTCCATGAATGCTGCTCGTGCTTTTGCCACCCTCAGGGCGTAATCATCCGCTATGAATATGGTTGTTCCTTTGAAGCGGAGCTGCACACCGCTGCGTGTGCTCCTGGTGATAGTGAAACTCGGCCACAACAACCCTGGATCTTCCATCCGTGTCTCTCCTGCCTGGTGTCTAGTACATGTAATTAGCCTGTGGCTGTTTATCCAACTTTAGGACCGCCATTAGCATTTTCGCTATTAACATGAGGTTTTCACCTGCTGATTCAGGAAGCCCAATAATTCTGATATTGTCACATCTTGCGTGTCCTTCTGCAGATTCAGACTGTTTTTTTAAGTCCCTCCACCTCAGATTTTAACTCTTGGACCATGCCATGTAAGTTTTCCAATCCGTCCAAGTGTAAAGACTAGGGGGTGCACCGATTGCAGTTTTCTGGCCGATCACCGATTTCTAAAAAGTCTGACCTGCCGATTCCGATTTTGGCCGATACAATTTTGTTTTAAAAGCAATACTGTCAGGTGTTATAAGGTCACAATGCACCTTCAATTTTCCAATATTATTTTATTGAAAAACATACCCTTGAACAATATCCTAGAAACAATTCAAACTTGTTTTTACTGGCCATGAGGTAGTGCTCTGAAATCTAAATAAAGTTCAGACAATTGTTGTTAAAACTAAAAAAAAAATTGGTGAAATTGATTTCTCGTGCAAGTATCGGCCGATTTCTGATTTCCCAAAATTAAGGAAATCGGGGCCAATAAATCGGCTGTGCACCCTTAGTGTCAGCACCAGCCCGGTCCAACTCCTTCCTGAACCCCGCGGCAATAGCAGAAATTTAATTCCTTACTGCCTGTAGTTCGCTCTTGATAAAATTAAAGTCTTCTGTGAGGGCCACTCATAACTCCATTTTAATCATTGTTACAATTTCAGCTCTAATCGAGACCAGAATTTTCCGACCTCAGGACCGACATTCACACACACACACCTGCTTGCGCACGCTCAGCGGAGAGGAGGCAGATGCACCTGCCATCTTATCAGACTTCCCATCACCGCAGACTGAGGTCTTAGTATCCAGAATAGGCCACGGGGGATACGAGGTCGAAGCTTTCAGTTTTATTTGCTTTGATGCCATGTCACCACCACGCAACGAAAACAGTCCCAGAAACAAAATCTAGTCCAAAGGTCCAAGGATGTGGTCAAAAAAATAAAATTTTCACCCGGGCCAACGGGAGCTCCTCCAACCTGCTGTTCACATGCTCAACGCCATTTTCTCCCATAATTTTGTTTTTAACTAAACACCTACAGCTCTGTCACATCTCATCATTAGATTTTAGTTTAAAACTTGTTGGACAGTGTGCTTTCCTTCAAGCACATGCCCTAACAGTTGTGAATGTGTTGTCTGATTACAGTGCCTCTGGCAGCCTATAGATGGCTGGTGTGTTTTCTGCTGGTGGAAAGTCAGAAGAGGCTGGAACAAGAAAGATCTTCAGGCAGGAAGGAATTTGATGCTCGTAACAACAGTCAGGTAACCAAAAACTCACAGCCTAACTGTCATGTCACCAGCCAGGCCAGGGGCTTCATGGACAAAGACTTGCCTGGTGCACGCTTACATGACTAAAAGAACATCTGCACAAACAAATCCAACAGTGTGGAATGTTGTGGACTCATGAATCCAGCTTATTTCCTTTGTACGTCCAGGTCATCGTTTATCTGAGACTGAGCCCCTGACACGCCTCCATTTATTAATTAATTCATTCATTCAACCTTTATTTTAACAGATAAATCACATTGAGCCTCAAAGACTCATTTACAAGTGAGACCTGTTTGGACAGACAATAAAAGTGGTGAAAAATGACACATAGGGTTTGGAGACAAAAAAAATCCTAACACGCTTTTAACCTCTGTTTTGAAGGTCAACAGTGTGGTAATGAAAAGAAAAATCTCGCACATGAGCACATACTGATGCTGACATTATGCCGGGGGGGGGGGGGGGGGGACGCAACGGCGGTGAGCAGCCAGAGCCAACACACAGAGGCACTGCAGAGTTCAGATAAAATCACTCTGTTCAAGTAGTTCCCTCTGGAGAGATCCGTGTGCACACTCGGGGTGGGGGGGTTGGGGGGGGGGGGGGGGGAGGACAACCAGAGATGAATCCAGAGTCCTGAAATGATGACAGAATGTTTATTCAGCTGAGCTCCTCTGAAAATCCATGGAATTTCTCAGTAGTAAGGGAGGGAGGGGCTAAGCATCAGGTTTACAAAACTTTCCAGGCTGGTTGAGATAAGATGGCCTGTCAAGGCCAGTCAGCGAGCCGAATTCAGATAAACACGATTGTTTTGGGGACAGGCAGAACTTTAATGACATCTACCTTGATTCTGTGTTGGTCCACTCGGTTACGAAACGTCCAAATTAAATAAACTTACCAATGGAACGTGCCTGAGAATAATCCCCAAGAGCTGATCCATTCTGCCAAAAGTCTGGGTGCTCGAGGCATGAACCAAGCCATCATATAAGGCAGGCAGCCAGACCAGGTCCAGATTTGCTGCTGATGACTTCCTTGTTTGTTGATAGACCAGGAACCAGCCAAATCCAAAAAGTAGGAAGCAGTTATCATAAATCCAATTATAAATGCGTCCTTAAAATCCACAGATGACAGCAGAGATAGACACGCCATCAAGTCTTCAAAGTCGATGAGATATCTAGCTGCGTTCATCCCAACAGGACAAATCGGCTCGCCTAAAGCCTGTCTTCTCTTCAAAGAAATGTTATCAATTGTGTTGAAGGACCAACTGACCAAATCCAAGTCCATAGTTATGATTCGGAAGATTTGTAGAAGAGAGGCTCTAAAGCAGTTTCACAGACAAGACAGAGCAAAAGCAAAGCGGAGAGGGAGAGGAGAAGACGTCCACCCTTGAGAAGAGCAAGTGTTGAATGTGAAAATGTAAATGTGCAAACCAACATAGTCCATGCTCAATAACCCAGGTATACAGTCCAACAATTTTTAGTCAGATCATCTGGACAGTTTCTTTTTTTGTGTGTGCTGAAACGTTTCACCTTCCATCCAGAAGGCTTCATCAGTCAAGGAAACACACAAGACAAAACTGTTTTTCCCCCCAACAGCTTACTCCAAAGTGGAACAAACCAGATAATGTTGTTGCTAAGATTGGTCTGTTTGGAGGGGGCGTGCCAAAGAGACCAATTCATCAGTGCAAGTCAATCAGCGCAAGTCCTGACGTAGATGGTTCCAGAGGCTGGGTGCAACGACAGAAAAGGCCCGGTCACTCCATCATTTGTAGTTAGACTTTGGGACAGACAGTAGAAAAGTATTGGATGATCTCAGTGTTCTCCTATATTCACAAACAGCTATAAGATCAGTCAGATATAGTGGGGCAAGACCACTGAGAGCTTTAAAAGTGAATAATAAAATTTTGAATTTAATTCTAAAATCAACTGGAAGCCAGTGGAGATAAAATAAAACAGGGATAATGTGCTCACGTCTGGAGGTGTTGGTTAAGAGTCGAGCTGCAGCATTTTGGACCAATCGAAGACACCTAATGGAGGATTGGGAGATTCCTGCATATAGGGAATTACAGTAGGCAAGCCTTGAAGTGATAAAAGCATGAATGGCCTTTTCCAAATCAGAACGATTTAAAAAAGGCTTACCTTTGGAAAAGAGACATAACTGATAAAAACAGGCTTTGACTGCAGAGGCTATTTGTTTATCAAACTTTAAGTCTTTGTCAAACGTCACCCCCAAATTTTTAACTGGGGGTCTGAACTTGAATGTCAGAGCACCAAAGTTGCAGGGAGCATAATCACAGAAGAAGATGTACTCCGTCTTTCCTTCGTTTAAAAACAGAAAATTATGGTGAAACCACTGTTTAATGTCAGCAATACAATCAGTAAAAGGTGTGTGAAGGTTACTATTTTTAGGCGTCATGTGTAAATAAATGTATAGATCATCAGCATAGCAGGGAAAAGAAAAGTGATGTCTGGCTATCACTGATCCAAGAGGCAGCATGTACAGAGAGAAGAGGAGAGCACCAAGAATAGAACCTTGTGGCACGCCACAAGAGAGAGGGGCAGTAGAGGAAGACACATTACCCAACATGACAGATAACATTCTGTTGGTCAAGTAGGCAGTGGACCACTTGAGAGCTATACCAGATATTCCAACATAGCGTTGAAGACAAGACAAAAGGACAGCGTGGTCCACTGTGTCAAATGCAGTTGTAAGGTCCAGCAACACCAGAACAATGGGACACTTGGCATCCATGGACATGGAAATGTCATTATGGACTTTTAACAGGGCTGATTCAGTACAGTGACATGTTCTAAATCCAGACTGAACTGTTTCATAAATATCATGATTTTCTAAAACAGGTTGTAACTGCATAAAAACAACTTTTTCTAAAACTTTGGCTAAAAAAAGCAGATGAGAAATGGGTCTGAAATCTGACAAAATTGATAGGTCAAGGTGTGGTTTTTAAGAAGGGACCATACATCCATGTTGTAATATGTCACCTCCAGCCTGTGGAGAGGACGCTGGCGTTGTTTGTTCGCCGCTTCTCTGTCTGGATGCTTACATTTTAAAGTATTTTTTATTTTTCCCTGATTTTATTCACTTTTGTGGTCAGCTTGCGGCTTCGGATGATGTTTTTGTTGTTGTTAGGAAGACTCTGCTATTTTGTATTCCTGCTACTGTGTGACGCCGTGTCTCCCTCTTCAGCTAGCATGATGCTAAGCTACTCTGCTGGGGAGCTGTTGAGCCTTAATAACTGCAATGTCCATGTGGATCTTCTGGACGTTTCCATCATCAAAAGGCTTGGTGTTTTTCGACGTCCTCCTTATGCCCACAGAAGCTCCCGGAGAAAGCATATTTTTAATCGGACTGGGTCCTCCATACCAGTCATCTGGTCAGCTGAACGTTCCGGCGCATGGTGCTCATGTCATCAGAACACTGCGGCTCTTGGGATTTGTAGTCCTGACGTGACTACAGCAGTTCTACATCTCTCAGGTGCAGGATGGGAAACGTGGAGTGGATTTTAATCTTCTCAAGCCTATTAAAAAATACATGGCTGCGCCTTATCGTAAAATCAAACTCTTCAATGTGCAGTCCTTGACTAATAAAGCATGCCTTATCCAGGAACACATTCTGGATAAGGATTTAGATATTATGTGCCTTACAGAGACTTGGCATCAGCCAAACATTTTCTCTGCTCTCAATGAGGCATGTCCTGCTGGATATAAATATCTCCAGAGAGCACGGAGTTCTTGTCGTGGCGGTGGTCTAGCCGTCATTTTTAAAGATCATTCGGACCTTTCTCCTGTGACTCTGTCTGAGTTGTCCTCCTTTGAGTGTTTGGCTTTCTCCTCCAAACCACCAAACTCAATGAAAGTGCTCCTTATTTATAGGCCCCCTAAATCTCATTCTTCCTTTTTTGCTGAGATATCAGAGACTCTGTCAATGTTCTGTTCCACAGCCACTAACATACTCATACTCGGGGATCTCAACATTCATGTTGATACACCTACAAATCATCTAGCTGCTGAATTCCTTCAACTTTTGGACTGTATGGACTTAGAACAACATGTCAAGCTTCCAACACATTCTCGTGGTCACACCTTAGACTTAGTCATCACAAACTCTCTAACTGTATCATCTCTCTTCATATGACATGGGTGTATCCGATCACAAAGTCATCTATATGGAGCTTCCTTTCCTGCACAGTACCATTAAACCAAAGCGACAGATTTCTTTTAGAAATCTGAAAAACATTAACTCTGAACTTCTAGCAGCTGATCTTAAGGTCCTCATTCCTGGCTCCCTTCCAGCTTCCCTCAGTGCAGTGGACTTCTACAACATCAGCCTCTCCAGCATCTTAGACCACCATGCTCCTTTCAGGGAGAGGACAGTTGCCTTTTCACGCTCAGCTCCCTGGTTTACCTCAGAGCTGAGGAAAATGAAGGCAGCTGGTCGAGTGCTAGAGAGACGTTTCTTGGCTTCTGGTCTGCTAGTTCACAAGCTAGCTTATATGGAGCATCGTAAGATGTATGCTAGGTCCCTCAAAGATGCTCAATCTTTATTTTACTCATCTATAATCTCTAATAACCCTGGTAACTCCAAAATACTTTTTTCAACCATCACTCACCTCCTTCAACCACGAACAACATCACTCAATGACCCCACTAATGATCTTTGTAACAACTTTATCTCCTTTTTCCAAAACAAGATAAAAAAATCCGATCAGCCATCACCATTTCACCCCCTGCCCTCTCTCCAGCTGCAAATGTACAGCCTGGGAACCCTCCTCCCTTCTGTTCTTTCCCAGAGAGCTGTGTGAAGGAAGTTGAAGCCACTGTCATGGCTATGAAACCCTCCACATGTGCTCTTGATCCCTTCCCAACAGCCCTAGTCAAGGCTAATATTGCCTTTCTCAGTCCTCTTATCACCACCATAGTTAATCAATCCCTTCAATATGGCCATATTCCCCCTGCCTTGAAATCAGCCATAATTAAACCACT